GTCTCACAATCCCGCCACCTCACCCCCTCTCTTGCCTCCTTCAAGTCTCACCTGAAGACCTTCCTCTTCGATCGTGCCACACTCCCACCCTCACCCCCTGTCCTCCTCCCCTTCTGAACCCAACTCCTAGCTCAGGTCCAAAACCTCTGATTGTCCAGTACCATGGGATGTCTTTCTGAGTGTAATTCAGAAGGGCACTATACAAATGTAATTTGTTGTTGTATTACTATTGTTGCTTTAAACTGTACCTCATGTACTGCTTCAACCAGTGCAGGAACTATTCCCATAAGAATGCAATCCAAGATAATGGCTACTTATTTGTAAAGCAAAATTCCACTTTTGAAAGCATGAATATAATCTACTACTCAATGAACCCAGGCCTTTAGGAATTTGATCTAACCATATGTGATGTGATACTTCACAGGATAGCAATTTCTTCTGGAGGAATAAAATTCGAGAAGGATTATTAAAAACAGTGGAAAGGTTAGTCTTCAATCAGCATCACTCTCTCACTTATCCACTCACTATATTCCCCTTAGATATTTTGCAGAAACAGATTTAAGTCTACTTAATCAATTTGGCCCCTTCACTGGCACAAATCTAACAAATCAACACTTTTATGACTAAGGTATGTCCAACAAAAAGGTCAACTTTTTAGTATTCCAGTGCCTCAGGAGACTCTACTCAGCACAATAGAAAATAAGACTCTGGACCAGGACAAAAACAAATCTTGAATTTGATATACACCTTCCACATTGGAAGGATGTCTCAAAGTGTTTCACAGGATTTTACTGTAAAGTGGAGTGACTGTGTATTGTGAAGGGACAAGGTAACGGCTATTTTGCACACAGCAATGTCCCACAGACAACAATTAAGTAAATGACCAATTCTGTTTAGGGGATTGTTAGCCAGGACACCAGGAGAATCTCCCTTCTATTTTCAAAAAGTGCCATGGGATCTATAACGTCCACATAGACAAGCAGGCAGGACCTTAGTTTAATGTTTCCATCTGAAGACATCTCCAACAAAACTTTGGAGTATCAGTCTAGACTATGTGAGTAAAAAAATTGAAGAACATACACAATACAAAGACTACCTGTCACCCTAAAGAATCATCAATAGTAAATAGAATTCTATTAACTATTATTTGAAAGGGAAAATAGTGTTTGTATCACATGCGTATTTGAATTATCATTTGGCTTTCTCTAATAATATAATTTAGAGAAAGCCAAATGATAATTCAAATACACATGTGAAACAAACACTATTTTCCCTTTCAAATAATAGTTAATAGAATTCTACTTATTATTGATGATTCTTTAGGGTGACAGGTAGTCTTTGCATTGTGTATGTTCTTCAATTTTTTTACTCACATAGTCTAGACTGACACTCCAAAGTTTTGATATAGTGCCTAAATTATTGAAATGTTTTAAAACACTTCAAAAGGGAATTGTTGTTAAGTGAAGTGGCTATGTATTTTTAGGCAAACATAGCAGCCAATTTGTAGACGACAAGATATCACATGCATCCATAAAGTAAAACCATAATCCTTACATTTTGATGTAGCGCCTTATCACGTCATTGACACTTCTCAAAGCGCTTCACAGAATATTTTGTAAGTGTAGTGAGTGTATTTTGTGGGCGAAACATGGCAGCCAATTGTACACAGCAGTGTCCTTCAAACAGTCGAGGATTGAGTGACCAAATCATTATTTTTTTTTAAGCAATTATTACCTCCGGAAAGCTATCTGGCAATCGACTAACAACCGGGTTCCTATTTACTGTTAGATAAACAGAGGCATGTGGAGTAAGGAAACTTGCCCAACGTTTCACCCTGCCCGGAATCGAACCCAGGTACTCTCATTTGCTCTAACCACGAAGCTACAGGACTCCACAAGAAATTTACAGCACAAAAGAAGGCCATTCAGCCTATCATATCTGTGCCAGCTCCCTCAAGAGCAATTCTTTCAGTCCCATTTACCTGCCCTTTCCCCAAAGTGAATAAGGAAGTCCTCCAATTTATTAAGAAGACTGTGTTGGGCAATTTATCTGGATAATTCCTTCTCGTTTTAAGTGGTGCCATGGGATCTTTAACTTCTACCTAAACAGAACCTCAGTTTAATGTCTCATCCACAGGATGCCATTTTTGTCAACGCAGCACTCCCTCAGTACTGAATTGGTGGGTGAGCCTGGAGTGACCTCAAATCTCAATGTGTAGTTGGATTCCCTAAAGAGGAATCAATTGAATGAAGCTAGCCTTTGATGGCTTGCCAAATATATTCAAGTAGCGCCAGTTTAAATATTAACAACTTATTTATGTTATATCTTAATCCATGTAACACTGTGAAGAAATTCACTTATCCAACTGTTAGCAGGTTTCAGGAGGCAGTAAAAGTACAGAATTCACATTCAAGAGCCTTATTTCTTCCTTACAATGTGAGAAATATATAAGCAATCGGCATGTTTGCATCAGCTAGCCCTGTCAATCACTGATCGTTTCGGATTTTCAGTGGCTGCAAACCAAGTTAGATCAGTTCTGAGCCAATGAAGAACACAGTAGTTAAAATAAATTGCTTTCATCTTCCGAGACGGAAGATGGAAACAAGAAGTCAGGTTAGAACAGAAACAGAATTGCAAGAAAAGAATACAAATTATCTTAAAATAATAATATAATCCTTGCATTTGATATAGGGTCTTATCACGTCATTGAGACGTCTCAAAGTGCTTCACAGAATATACTGAAAAGTGAATTAACTGTATATTTTGTGGATGAAACATGGCAGCCAATTGCACACAGCAGTGTCCCACAAATAAAAATGAACAAGATAAGAAATATTTGATTTTGGTGGGCCCAGGTGAAGCCTACAATTTTTTTTATTTTAAGTGATGATTTAATCAATTAATTATTTGAAGATTTATTAATAAAAAATATACTTACATTTGGTATAACGGCTTTCACTCTGGAAGGACGTCTCAAAGTGCTTTGGAGGATAGAGTATAAAGTGTTTGTTTTGTAGGCACACAAAGCAGCCAATTTGCACACAGTAATGTCCCATGAACAGCCATAGAGTGAAATTTTTGAGATAATATTTCAGTAACAAAGCTATCCTGGTGTTCAAGGAGCTTTATTACTTCAGTATTATTTTTTAGTAGCATGAGCTAAAAATGTACAAAACCGATCGGCCCAAGAGACAGGTGTCTCAATATCTACATGTTAAAGGCTGTGCTGAAAGTATATGGCAGTCTGACAGTATATGGGTGTGTCAACAAACAGCAAGGTAATCACTTAATTTATGGGTCTGAGCTCTTGTTTAATTATACCTATTTTTGGAAGTGAGTTTACCGTTATTGATTTGGATCAAATAATAACAAGATAACTTAGAGAAGAAAAAGCCAATTGATTATCACACATCTGAAGGCGAGGCAGACACTGCAAGGGTTCAATTTGCCTGAAAGCCAGAGAGACCTGGGTTCCATGCTCGGCAGGGCAAAACCTTAGGCAAGTTTCCTTACTCCACACGCCTGATAATAATCAGTCAATCAACTCTTGAGTTCGCAATGGGCACCTTGGGTGGCCTCTGATGGTCAGCTGCACACTGACAAGTCTCAGAGTGACTTCCTGGTTTCCGTAACGTCAGTGCAATTGACAAGGGCTGCTGACAGGAGCCAGAAAGTGCAACTGTTTTGATTGTAAAGGAAGCTTGAGGCATTGGATCTGTTTCGTGGGATCAATGGATTAAACCGAGTATAAATTCCTGTCTCCTGGCCAAAACCCACGTCGCGGTTTTAAATAACACTTTACGTCTGTTGGAGCCTTTCAAACCACAGTAGTCCCATTCTGATCTGAGAACAGGGATTAATGTGAGTGAAGCTTGAACACTATCCGAGGTCCTCGCAGTAATGCCCCACAAGTGCGAAAAGCTTAATTCCTGATTAAAATCCCATCCCCGCACTTTCCCATTTCTGATGGTTTTTTGGAAAGGGATGACATTTCCAGATACAGTCACTTCCAGGATCCATTTCTGGCTTATTTGGGTTTCTGTGAAAGATGAATGATCAGCCAACTTATTTTAAAAAGCAGGTATTTTCATCGCCCATCTGAAGGAGAGGCAGACACTGCAAAGGTTCAATTTTCCTGAAAGCCAATGTATTGATCTGATCTGTTATTACAACACTGTCTGTTTCAACACAAACAGATAAGCTGGTAGTTTAAAGGGAGGTTAGTTATAACGTGGGGATCAGACATTCACAACAGTTTACCACAAAAACTGATTGTTGTCTTTACTTTTATGATAGTATATATTTCACAAACTGCTAACAACAAAAGTGTATCTGAAGTTATATTAAGAGGCAGGCTTGAAGAGATAAGCTGGTTACCTTTTATTTAGTATTAAAAAAAACTGCGCTTATTGCATAGTTTTAAACACCTTAACATGGGATAGTCAGTCATTTGCTGTCCAAAACGAATGACAAACATACATCTAACCAGGCAGACTGAGATACTCTGAGACAGGAGGAAGTGTAAAGACATGCATGAATCTAGACGCCGTGTCAAGCGCTAGTATAGGTACTGATACCCAGTGTGTGTGTATGTAGGAGTCCTGTAGCTCAGTGGTTTACAAGTGAGAGACCTGAGTTCAATTCCAGGCAGAGGGCGAAACCTTGGGCAAGTTTCCTTACTCCACACAGAGCCTAATAATAATCCCTCCAAAACCAAAAACAATAATAAATTGGTCATTTTCAATCCACGACTGTTTGTGGGACATTGCTGTGCGCAATTGGCTGCCGCGTTCGCCCACAAATATACAGTCAATTCACTTTACAGTGTGTTCTGCGAAGCGCTTTGGGACGTCCTCCCGACGTGAAAAGCGCTACATCAAATGCAAGGATTATTATTATTATATATTATGTATATATATATATATATATGACTGTCCAGGGCTGAGTCTGGATCAATCCCCTGTTCTGTGTGTGGAAGATTGGAGAACGTTGTGCCCTACCCCATTGGCAGCTGCCATCTGCACGATGGTCTCTGTGGCTGTCCTGCTCAAGTATCGCCCATCACTGCCCACCACCATGGTGCAGCCCTGCCGGTCCCGCAGGTCTATTGAAGACAGCACACTCTGGATGAAGTTCTGCAGATAGTTCCTCTTGCTCTCGAACACGAAACATTCCTTCCTCAGACCACTGATCCCGGGTTTCTGATCGTCGTGAGGCACAGTCTGCACAGTCACCACAGGGATGGGGCTGTTCTCCATGGCTCTCCGTGTGGGTTTATTCCTCCTTCCGAGCTCTTCCCTTTCAGCTATAGGAACGAGTCTTTGTGCAAAGGGCAGGAGGCAGCCCCCAACACCACCCCTCCACACACACACACACACACACACCCCACCACCACCACCACCTAAAAAAAAAAATCCGGTGCCAAGACTTTGAAATGAATTGCATGCAACACCGCACCCGAAATAGCTCCTGGACAGAGCGCCTGAGAATGACCGACTGCTGCCAGTGCTGTAACTGAAGGCGAAGGCTTTGTGTGCACCAACACTTGTTGCAGGGAATCAAACCCCTGTCAGTTTCATCCCAGACCACCTCCTCCTGATGGGGTCACAGCTGGTTCAGAGCTTCCCAACAATAGCATTCCCCCCCCCCCCCCCCCCCCCCACACACACACACATACACACACACTCCCCCCACCCCCCCCCTCCCTCTCTCTCTCTCTCTCTCTCTCTCCCTGAGGAATCAGTGCAGCCAAAACGATCCAGTTGGAAACCTACAGCTAAGGGGGAGGGGGTGTCTTCTTGTCGAGCACAGTCATATGTCAACTCACAGTTTGCACCCCCCCCCTCTCCACCCCTCCATCCACTTTAAGGGTTAGACTCTGGATGTGGCTCTAATTTTCAAGCGACGCACTTCAAATAAATCAAGCAAAATTCAGAGGTCAAGTTTAAGAAAGAGTTCACACCCGTACTTCATATTTGCAAAACTTCCAGTTCTTATTCGATTGGCGGATGTCTTTCCCAGGGATAATAATCCCTCCAAAAAAATGGGTCACTCAATCCATGACTGTTTGTGGGACACTGTTGTGCGTAATTTATTTCAGCGCTCCGGGACGCTACCACGTGTGAAGGGCGCTGTATAAATGCAAGTTGTTGTTGTAATCGGCTGCTGTATTTTGCCCACAAAATACAGTCAATCCACTTTACAATATATTCAATGAAGTGCATGGAGACAACTCAATGACGTGATAAGGCACGATATCAAATGAAAGGATTATCATTTTATTATTTATAATGTGAACAAATCTATCATGATACTGTGGGAGAGTTATAAACTGTAACCTTTCACCTATTTTTGGGGAACAAAAAAGTTTTGCAATGTTTTTTAATGGGTTTCATTGATACACAGGGAATATTGCAAGTACACTTGGATAATGTTCCTCACAACTCATCACATCTCTGTGCAAATTCATCAACGTGAAGATGGACAGACACGATTTATAGCATTTGCTTATTTGATGCTTATTACAGTGTATCCTGTGAAGTGCTTTCAGAATGTCTCGAAGACATGATAAGGCAAGGATAAGGCAAGACATCAAATGCAAGGATTATTATTATTATCATAGCGCCTTATCATGTCTTTGAGTCATCTTTCCCATGGGATAATAATCACTTAAAGAAATTTTTTAAATAATAATAATTTGGTCACTCAATTCACAACTGTTTGTGGGACACTGCTGTGCACAATTGTCTGCCACTTTTGCCCAAAAAATATACAGTCAATTCATTTTAGAGTATATTCTGTGAAGTGCTTTGAGATGACTCAAATACATGATAAGGCGCTATAATAATAATAATAAAATAATAATAATAATCCTTGCATTTGATGTCTTGCCTTATCCTTGCCTTATCATGTCTTTGAGACATTCTGAAAGCACTTCACAGGATACACTGTAAAGTTTAGTGACTGTTTTGTGGGTGAAACACGGCATCCAATTGCATACAGATATGCAAGGATTATTATTATTATTCATGATTTATCTCTCAGAAAAATGCCTACCTCACAACGTGGTCAGACTTTCTCAAACTGTGCAGGAAATTGAACAAGCTAGATTTGTTTCATTACTTTGGTCCTGTGTTGGTCTATTGTGCTGCTTTTCAAGTAATGAAAGTAATGAATAATAACACGCCGAGTAGTAATAATAATAAGTAGCTAATAAAGCATGTTTTTTCAACTTGATGCTAAGTTCACGTTAAGCAGACACAGATCTTACACTTCTGATTGTCTTCTTGTTTTGTTACAATGTCTTTCGATAAATAAAATGGGGAAAAAACAATTAATTAACCATTTCCACAAATTCCCACCCAGAGAAGTCTTGAGATAACTAGGAAAATAGCGCCACCACTGGGCAATGAGCTGTCCTACATGATGTTTTCTCTCACCCGAATTAAATAAATAATTATCAGTTTACAAAATCACCAGAGGTTCAGGTGAAGATCTTTCCACCTATTTGATCTCATCTTTCTAGAATCCCACACCCTACCATCTTTCCATTACAGGTTTCATTTTATTACAAGCTGTTTCTTAAATGAACTTGGTGCACTTCATAATTTTTGTTTTGTCAGCCTGACACTTGTGGGGTGGGGGGGATTCGCAGCAGCCTGTGTTAGCCGAACGAAGGGGCGAGGCTAGGAGTGGGGTACAAGCAAGTCAGAGAAGTAGGGTGGGAAGTGGTTTATACGTGAGGTTGAGGATCTTGAAGTGAGCTCAGAGCCCAGCGAAGATTGGAGTGATTCATGTGTGGAGTATAATAATAATAATAATCCTTGCATTTGATATAGTGCCTCGTCACATAATTGAGATATTTCGAGCGCTTCACAATATATTTGGAAAGTGGATTGAGTGGACGAAATTGCAATTTGGGTGATGAGCTTGAACAAGCGTGTCTACAATCACCTTCCTCCCCACCCCACTCTCCCACCTTGTTGTCCACCGCCATCTCCGTAAACTACTTTGAGATGTTCCTCTACATTAAAGGCCCAGCATAATTTTAAGTTATTATTCTTGTAATCTGTTCAAACAGTTAACCTTACTTTGTGTAAAGAAATACTTCCTAAAGCAGCAGTGCTCTCCTATCCTACCTCCTAGGCCAATCTAAAATTATTATACTGGGTTTACTGATGGGTCCTAGCCCTGACAGTTCTACACATAACAAACTGATTGCTTGAAGTGAGGGTTCCTCCTCATGGTGATACCAAGAAAACACACTTTTTGCCGTTTTATTCAGTTATCAGCCTGGCTCAATTGGTAGCTCTTTGCCTCTCAGTCGAAAGTTATGGGTTCAAGCCCTACAACTTCCATACAGGAGGCTGAAGTTCCATTGCATTGTCAGAGGTGCCATCCTTTGGATAATACTAATATAATAATAATCCTTGCATTTTATATAGTGCTTTACACATCTTCGAGACGTCTCAAAGCTTCACAGAATATACTGTAAAGTGAATTGACTGTATGCGAATTGACTGTATTTCCGACTGTATGCAATCAGCAGTCGTGTTTTGCCTACAAAAAACATTCAATTCACTTCACAATATATTCTGTGAAGTGCTTTAAGATGTCTCAGTGATCTGATGAGGCGCTATTTCAAACGCAAAGATTATTATTATAAAATCGGTCATTTACTTCATAGCTGTTTGTGAAGTATTGCTGTGAGGAAATTTGCTGCTACGTTTGCCTACAAATACACAGTCACTACACTTTACAGTGAATTCCTGTGAAGCACTTTGAGATGTTTTGATAATTTGATTAGGCACTATTGTCAAATCCAAGCTGTCTTTACTTTTCGTTTCAATTCAAATGTAAAATTATTTTAAGTTTCCGAATTCAACACAGAATTGTTCAGAGAGTAATCAGTGTAACATTGTCATTCATAGGTCTGGTAACATTCTGTTCCATGGCTGCAGGACAAACTCATTTGCGTGATACTGTCCAGACCCTTTTGGCTGAAAGAGGTTTTGTGTACAACTTATTCTGTTTCAGGAATAACAATGGAATCTTCCTTCCCTGTCTTTGAAATAAAGTCAAAAGTATATAGTGACATTCAAGCATTTCTGCATCAATTCAGACTGCACTGTTTAACTATCTTTAATTTTGTTTATACATACATTTTGGCATACAATATATATCTGTCACTTTTCAAAGGCAGAAATTTGGACACCACAAAGCAACACATGCAAATTTGCTGCTGTGTTTGCCTATAAAATACAATCATTAAACTTTACTGTATATCCTGTGATCCGCTTTGAGATGTCTTCCCAATTGGAAAGATGCTTTACCAAATGTAAGGATTATTATTTTATTATTATGCCAATGCAAATTGTTGTTGGTCTTGGAATCTAAATTAAAAGGTCCTCTTACACCCATTTCTGTGCTTTTCAGCATTTAACAGACCTGGATCATGTTCGGCTCCATCTTCTTTCCTCTGATTAAAACGAGTTCAGCTCTCTTCAAAACCTAGAACACTTGGCTTCATCTTTCAAGTTCTTTGAACTTTCTCCAACATGACCATGTATTTCGAGGGTAAAACAATTAATAAAACAACTAATATGCTCTTAATTTTGAAGCCTCATTTTATCCCTCATGACAGTTTAGTAGTACTAGGCAGATAAAATTGGTGATTCACTTTGTGACTATTTGTGGGGCATTGCTGTGCATAAATTGGCTAGTGCATTTGCCTACAACAACACTTGCATTTATATAGCGCCTTTTACGCAAGGCACAAATACAGTCACTACTGTTCTTCACAGTAAAATCCCATTGATCACTCTGAGACATCTCAATGACATGATAAGGCAAATTATTGTATTATTATACATCAGCTGTCCTGAGAGTAGTGAGTGGCAGGCTTCCACCCGTATTGCTCAGTGACAGAAACTATCAATTGCCTCACATGACAATTTATCCGCAATTTTCTACGTCCTAGTGGAAGAATACTTCACTTCCTGCACAATACAATAAACATCAAGAATTCAGGAGTGTGAGATGAAACTTGCATCCCTGGATGCTAATATTATAATGCACAATGCAGGTTAATTTGAAGATCTTGTATCTTGGATGTGAAGAACTCATAAAATACTTGACTACATCTAATAATCTTTTGGCATATAATATACATGCCTGTCCTTCCGTTTCAATATTGGCTGCAATGTGAAGCTTCTTCTAACTGCTTCAGTCATCTTGACAAAGGTGAACGAGAAAACACCTGGCACCTTGGAGGACAGAAGAGAAAATCAGCTGGTGGGGGGGTCACATTATATTTGGATACTCTCAAGGGTGGTGATAGTTTCATATGTGTGACACTCAACTGACCAAAAAAACGATTTAGTATGGACAGGAATACAGTGGAAGTCTGTTACAACGGACACGTCTGGGAACGCTCATTTTGTCCGGCTTAAGAGGAGTTCCTGCTGCAGCATGAGGTTTACAATTTTCATGACATGGTCAAGTGAGAAGTGACTACAGCCTTTATTTCCATCTGCCATATTTCCTCTGATGGTGATGTACAAGTTTCTGCATGAATAAAGTTGTGCTCTGTTTAGAGGAAAGCATGTGATCACGTTTTCCTTTATAACCAAGGTGTGGAAAAAA